ACACTCTTCTACCAACACTTTTGGCCATTGATCAAATCTGACTTGTGCACAGCTGTGTAAAGCTTCTTTCAATCCCATCAGATATTGAGGTACTGGAACCACACCCTAGTAACCCTTATTCTTAAATGCTTAAATCCTCAATCATTAAGTCAATTTTGGCCGATCAGGTTATGTGGTGTGGTATATAAACTCATTTCTAAGATATTGGCTAGTAGATTATAGGGTTTCCTAGATGTGTCTGTTAGCTGTTCTCAAGCGGCCTTTATCCCGGGGCGACAACTACTTGATAATGTTGTTATTGCACAAGAGGTGGTTCATTTCATGAATAGGCATAGGTATGGCCCACACTGCTATATGGCTTTAAAGCTTGATATGCTCAAAGCCTATGACAGAGTGGAATGGCCATGTATTCAGAAAACCATGGAGAGGCTGGGGTTTCATTCTCAATTCATTAAATGGGTATTGGCATGTATTTCAACTTCTTCATTCTCTTTTATGCTTAATGAGCGAGCTGTTGGATACTTGAAGCCTTCTATGGGGTAGAGGCAAGAGGATCCCATATCCCCTTACCTGTTTATATTAATTTCAGAAGTGTTCTCCTCTCCGATTAATGGAGCTGTGCAGGAAGGTTCATTTAGGGGAGTAGGGATAGCTATGGGTGGTCCTATGGTGAGCCATTTACTATTTGCTGACGACTCTTTAGTTTTTTGCAAGGCTGAACCGAACCAAGCCCTGCTCTTGTTGAAATTTCTTCATATCTATTAGATTTTCTCTGGACAGAAAGTAATTTGGCTAAATCTACTATTTTTTCAATAAGAATACTCTGGTGTCTATGATTTCAAATCTGTGTAATCTTATGCAAGGAATTCATGTTCATCTGTCCACCAGATATTTTGGATTGCCGTTGGGAATAAAGCAATCAAAGAAAGAGGCCTTTGAATATATTCTTCAATTAGTAAGAAAAAGGTTGATTAGTTGGCAAAAAAGATATCTATCCACAACTGGGAAAGAAGTTTTAACTAAAGCAGTCATTAATGCTTTGCCTGTCTTTGCAATGTCTTGTTTTAAATTACCTGTGAGCTTTTGCACAGAGTTGAGCAGGCTGGCAGCGGCTTTTTGGTGGAGAAAGAGTGGGCAAGAAGGGAAAGGAATCCACTGGATGAAATGGAGCAGACTGACAATTCCTAAAGATAAATGAGGCTTAGGGTTTCAGGATTTTAAAGTTTTTAATGAAGCTATGTTGTTGAAACAGCTATGGAGAATCACTACAAACCCAGGGCTGCTTGTTAGTAAAGTGTTGAAAGCTATATACTTTCCTTCCACTACTATTTTTGAAGTGAAAAAATCCAGTACTGCCTCATGGTTGTGGAACAGTTGGACTACCCTAATACCTCTATTGGCTAGAGAAGTTGGTAAGGAGATCAGAAATGGGAAAGACACCAAAATTCTGGATCATAGTTGGGTCCCCTAACTTGGACATTGCAATCCTCAACCATTGGGAGAGTGGAGGAATTCTGTTATATGGGTGCAGGATCTGCTGTCAGATGATGGGTTTAGATGGAATGAAGATCTGCTGAGGGAGATGTTCCATGATCGAGATAGACATGCAATTCTAGAAATCAAGCAGCAGAAACCTGACTTACCAGACAGATGGAGATGGTTCTTAGATGAGAAGGGCCAATATACACTGGCAGGTTCCTACAAACACCTCATGGGGGTAGAAACTGGAGCAACTTGACATTCCATAGGGAAGTACTTCGTCATGATTAGACAGAAAAATAAGATGTAGAAGCTAGAAGTCGAAGGTGAAAGGGAAAATGAAACATTTTATGTGGAAATGTATTCATGGAATTCTTCCAGTGAGTACAAATGTGGTGAAACGGGGTGTGCAGATGGATACAATTTGTAAGATGTGCGGAGAAGAAGAAGAATTAATCGAACATCTATTTTTTAAATGCAGATGATCAAAATTAGGAAGTTAGCCCCGATTAGTTAGTACGGAGAACAAATGCAGCATTCCTCATTCAAAAATTGGTGGTGGAACATCTATTCCACAAAGGATTCCGAGATTTCAGAGGACCGCATTCAGCTTTTGACGTATATACTTTGGTGGCTATGGCGATCATGTAACCTGTGGGTTTTCAAAGGTGTATGGATTCCTGAAGAGGTGTTGGTCCGAGGGGCTTGGCGAGAATGGCAAGAATACATCTCTTGCAGGGCATCCTTACGCTAGTTTGCGTCTGGTTTTTAGTCTTCTTACTATTGTTTAATAGTGTAGATTTTGTTAATTGTTTGTCTTGTGTGTTTGATAAGTCGTATTCTTGACATGTTAGTTGTCATGTTTTCCATACTTTTTTGGTGTTTGTTTGAGCTTAGTTATTGATTTTAATTGATTTTTATATTTTTTGTAGGATATCTCGGAATTTGAAATTTTATGATGATTGGAGAGCAAAAGAGACGAATTTGTGTTAAGGCGTGGGCACGCTAATTTCCTACGAGAGTTGGAAGAAGGAAGGAGTCTTGAATAGGAAAGAGAAATAAAACAACTATGGAGTATTTATTCATTTATGGACTATTCTATTTTATTAGGATATTTTTGGAGAGAGAATGATCTCATTATTTTCTACGTATTTTCTGTTAGGATTAGGATTAGACTGGTTTAATTAAAAAACCAGACTGCAGATTTATTTTAGATCTCTTCTTTTCTTCTGTTCTCTCCTCTACGCACGCATCTCTTCTTCTTCTCTTTTCCTTTCTTTTATTTTTTCTTTTATTTTTCATGAATAATTGGGAGACTTCTCCCATGTTTATGGAGATTTAATTTATTTTTCTAGCCAAAGGATTAATCGAGATTTGGTTCTTCATGATTTGTGAGATCTAATTGAATTTTCTATTCCCTATTCTCTTTTATTCGTATATATCTTGTGATTATTATTAATTGTGTTTTGATTGATTGATGCAAATTGGCCATTTGTTCGATTGTTGATAGGCATACTGTTAGTTAGAACGTCAAATCTGTAATTGTTTGACTGATCTAGTATTTGTGGCAAATAGCATAGTTGATTACTAAGGGTTTTCAATTGTATGCTTAGGGAGATATATGATCTAGTCTAAATGATCCTACATGTGTGTTTGGTGGCTAGAATTGGTGATCCTTCTAGATTTTATTGCTGTTGATAGATTAAATCCTATGATCATATCTAGGGTTGTCTATTGATTAGAGAAATAGTTAGAGATCATATCCTGATTATCGAACAAGTAAGGAAGGATAGGTTGTTAGGTCGTACCAATAATCATAACCAGTTTTTTCGAGAGTAGGAGAATTATGTTTGCATCCATGATCGAATCGTTGAACCATTTCTACGAGTTTTTCTTTTGGTTGGATATCTTCTCTATTTTTAATCACTCATTTTGTTTTCGTATCTAGTTAGATTTTATTTTATTTTATTATTTTTCTTAATTAGATACAATCATCAAAACCCCCCATCATTTTTATTTTTATTTTTATTTCACGAATAGTTGCATCGATACTCTGTCTAGCCAATCCCTGTGGATACGACCCTGCTTACCACTATTACAGTTATTTTAAAAGCAGGAATTTAATATTGTTGGATTCGACACCCATCAATTTTTGGCGCCGTTGCCGCGGATTGGTTTATAATTAGACTTGCTTTGGTGCACTATTCTATTGTGCAAGAGGCTAATATATTATGGAGTTTTATTGTCAGCCGTTCGAGCAAAATGGTTATCACAGGGAAAGCACGTGCCAAATTGAGTTTTGTGGAATTTGTGGCGACTCCCAACACCCAACTTGTTTATTCCCAACATTTTTATATTATCCTCAAGAGCATTCTCAAGTTGGAAATTTTCAAGAGCCGCAACGAGGTAGCTTTGATGGATTTTATGATAGTTGCAACTCTGAGTGGTGGGGTGATTACTCGCCTTCTACACCATTTGCTACCCAACAACAATATCCATCGAGTTCGATCACATCTCTTGAAGAAATTGTTAAGTCGCTTACGCTTAGTACTTTACAGTTTCAACAAGAGACTAGGAGCAGCCTTAAGAATCTAGCAGACCGACTGGATCAACTTGTGTCCTCAGTGAGCGAAAGTGTATCTCGAGTTGAGTTGTCATTAGAAATGGTGGTAGATACCTCGAGTTGTGCTACAGAGTTGACGGAATGTCCTAAGAAAGAGCAAGAATTCATGGAGGAATCTGAACAAGTTGTGGTTTTTCAATCTCCAAGTGATTTGTCTCCTAGTGATTTTATGGGTGTTGGTGATTTTGAAGTGTCGAAAAATATTGACTCGAGTGATTTGGACAAGTTGAAAGTTGTACTTTTCAATGATTCAACCTTTGATAGTTCAATAGAGTTTCAAGATAGCTTATATGAGTCGTATTGTTTTTCTCTAACTGATACCATTCCACCTGTTACTCGTACTGACGATTCATATTTTATTTTACAGGTATCGAAATTGCCACTATTGATTGTTGAGAATTTGACCAAGAATCAAGAAAAAAGTCTTTTGCATGAGTTGAAAAAAATTAAAAAGGGAATTGGTTGAGTCATGAAAATTATTTCTAGCCGAAGACGTTAAAGAAAGGCGCTTTTTGGGAGACAACCCAATTTTATTTTTTTTTATTCTTGATTTTTTATTTTTAGGTTATTCTTTGTCTTGTTATTTTTCTAATAGTCATAGGAATTTTAGTAATTATAAAGTAGAAACGATTTTTGTAAGGCGTGGACACGTGTATTTGGCTCAAAACGAACTAGTTCTCATTTCATAAGCCGTGGTCACGCCTTTTACAAATTTGTTCATGTTNTTTTTTATTAAAAAAAAATCTAAAATCAATAAAATCGGATAACTCTCGAAACTCTCCTCCTTCCCATCCCTAACTTCTCTCTCTCAGGCACCCAGAAATCGCAAACCACAATTCCCGTTCACGCCTCTTCTCTTCCCCTCAGATGACCACCGGCGAGCTACTTCCGTCTCTCTCTAACGACCACCGGCAGGCCCCTGCCTGAAATCCCCTTTCCTGCGTCCAGCCACCACTCTGCCGACCACCGCGCACGTAACCGACGATCCCAATTCTGGTGGGTGCTGCATCTTCTCCGGCGGGACTCGCTGCTCCTTTTTAGGCGTAACAGACCGTCCGCTGCATCTTTTCCGGCAGAACACGCGACCTTCAGGGACGCCGCGAAAAACCAACGTGAAGAACTCCTGAACCTCTGGAATTTTCTGTCATCGCCCAGACCACATTGGCGGAGGAAACAGCATAATCCGCTCGCGACCCAACCTCTGAAATTTGTCGTCAACCATTCGTTCACTGGTTGTTCGATCAAATGTTGAGACCAGCGACCTCCGGCGGGATCTGCTGCCTCTTTTTCGGCTTAATTGTCCGCCTTTTGAGTTCTCCCGGTGAGCTATCACCAATTTCTCGTAACCCGCTGCTCTCCCGGAGAACCCTGCTGCTTCTCTTCCGGCATACACCTGGCCTCATCTATTCACGATCGCTGCCGAATGATCATTAAATCTGATGATGCAGCAAGATGGCGAGATCTCTGTTCCGTCTTCACGCCATGACCAATTTCAAGATGTTGCAATACGTCTCGTGTTTTGGCGAACCTTGCTAACCGGACTGACCACAGCGCGCGTTCATGACGACTCTCCGTTATCGGTGAGCCGCTGCTGTCCACTGCCTGACACAAGTGAGCCAGCAACACCACCTCTGTCTTCGCTGTCTGTCCCCGTCTTCACGTTTATTTTTCGGGCGAGTCACGTCTTAGACCGTGCAACCTTCTCTTGACCTAGAAGCATTACTAACTGCAATTGCCATCATCAGTTGTATGTTCAGGCCGGATTAACAAACTTTGGTTGCTTTCTGCTCTACCCTTTCAAACACGCGTCGAGGATTTCAAATTTTGTGTGCCGATCCAGACACACCGACTCGATGAAAAATATAACCGGATGCTCTACGCAATCAGGGGAGTTTTCTACTTCTCTTGCATTTATTTTCTATATTTGTGATTTGAGCATTGAGTTGGTGCCATTGAGGATAATGTCAATTTTTAAGTGTGGGGTGGGGTGTTGATATAACCCTATTATCATATGTCGGCCCAAGAACTCTCTACTCGACCGAGTAACGGCTTAGATCGCCCATATGTCGATGTACTCCCGTCAACATATCTAAGTCGACTTCTATAAAGTCAACTCCTCAGCAGAACAACTATGAAAGGGACAAAATCCATGTAAGTCGACTCCTCGAGGTCGACTTCTGGCAGTCGATTCCAGAAGTCGACTTCCACTTGAGAGTAACAAAGCGTAGCCTCCGAATCCTTATGTCATTATGAGTCAACCTCCCAGTTCTCGAGGTCGACTTCTTATGCCTCGAGACCGAAGACGTGATGACGACCCATCACACTTGCAGCATACTTGAGGCTCTGCACTCTTTAATGGATAAAGGGGAATCTTGTGATGACTCAGCAGCAAGGGGAGACGAACCGACCGGGGCATTTTGGGCCCTTCACGCAAGTCGGCCGGGGTATTTTGGGGACTTCAAGTAAGTGTCTCCTCCTATATAAAGAAGGTGAGGTAACCCTAAACCCTAACTTCCATTCATTCCATACTCTCCTCCATAGCTGCTGCTGCTCTCTCAGAGCAGCCTCACTTCATCTCTTTCATATACTGACTTGAGCGTTGGAGGCTCTACGTCGGAAACACTTCCGGCGTTGAGTTCTTGCAGATGTTGTCGCGGTCTAGCAACGGTTCGAAGGCGATTCAAACAAATCTGAGCTCATTACCACCGGTTCACTCCAGATCTGAGAGCAGACCAAGCATTTTGGCGCCGTCTGTGGGGAGTTCTTGAAGGAATTAAGAGCTTTGCACCTAGCTCCGATCTGTTTCTGATGGCCGAGAAGGAAGGTTTGCAGAGGAACTTGAATGAGGAGTTTAGGGGAGCTTGGACTGATAGGAGACCACCACTACTCTCTACCCCTAGACCCCCAGTGATGCAGATGCTGGGACTACCACCGTTTGGAGGACTTCCACTGCCGGGAATGACTCTGGGTGGAGAAACACCCATTACTCCACCCGGAGAGAAGGTGCGAGTGTTGAATCAGGTAGGGACAAGTCAAAACCCCAATCCAAGTGTTGGAGAGAAGGAACCAACGGAGATGTCTCGACGTGAGGGAACGCAAATTCAGGAGGTGCCGGAACAGACACAAACACAACCCCGCGTCGAGGACCAGACACTGACGATGATGAGGACCGAGATGCAAAAGATGATCGTTGAAGCAGTAGTCGCCCAGATGAAGCAAGTGGCGCAAGTCGAGCAGAACCCGCGGGTCGAACAACAGCCTTATGTCGAACAGCAGGCTCAGTCGAACATGCAATAAAGCAGAAGGGCAGACGAGGAAGAGTCTTCCATTAGAATTGTCAACCCGCAGGCGAGAGACGAGCCATTGGAGCAGTTGCTGGCCCAGGTCCGCAACTTGCAGGCTCGAGTCGGGGGAAAGAAGAGTAGGAGAGCAAAGGAACATTCATTCTCGCAACAGATCCTGTGGGCCGACCTACCTCAGGGCTTCAGGGAGTTGAATATATGGTATGATGGCTCCACTGACCCGTCTCGACATCTGAGGAGCTTTGAGAACATGGCAGTGCTCCACCGCTATAGTGACCCTATACAATGCTGCGCTTTTCTGACAACTCTGAAGGGGTCGGCTCAGGACTGGTTCCACCAACTACCAGCTGGGTCGATTCAGGACTTTGATGGTTTCAGCTCAAGTTTTCTCAATCAATTTGCGAGTGTCAGACTGCAAGAGAAATCCTACCTCTCATTGATCAGCATGCAACAAAAGAAGGGCGAGTCGCTGCGAGAGTATGTGGCAAGGTTTACGAGGGCATGTGTCGACTGCCCAATAGCGACAGAGGAAATTAAATCGGGGGGATTGACAAGGGGACTTCTACCAGGTTTGTGTAAGAACTCTTTGGCCAAGCGACCTGGTAGGAGTTTTGATGACGTATTGGGAAGATGAGTACATGAACGTCGAGGAAGCAGAAGTCGACTACCTACAGAGCATGAAGATGTCCCAGATCGAAAGTCGAGATGACAAGAAGGAGAAGAAGATTCATTCGATGGGGGAAATGAGAGGATCCCCACGAGCGGACAGGGGTGAAGGACGATATAGGGGATGGAGGCCGATTCAATACACATCTCTGTCGGCTCCCCACGCGAGAATACTAGAAGTAATGGAGAGGGAGATCCGAGACGATGTGGTGAGATGGCCACGGACGAGAAAGGACGGACCGGTGAAGCCCAAGAGCAATTTGTACTATCGATTCCACAAAGATTATGGGCACAACACTGACGATTGCAGACACCTTAAAGACGAGATCGAGAGGTTGATAAAAGCTGGCCATCTAAAGGATATCATATACAAAGATCGCGAGAGGTCGAGCAGGAGGAGAGAAAGAAGTAAAAGTCCTCGCAAGAGGGCAAGGTCACTGGAGAAAGAGGAACTCCCCCAGAAAAGGGGAGTAATTCACATGATTTTTGGAGGGTCGACAGACGGAGATTCAAATCGAGCAAGGAAGGCGTATGCTCGAGGTCGATATGCAAAAGTCGAGGTGCATCAAGTCGAGGAGAATGGACCAGTGATGAACTTTGGGCCTGCTGATATGGGAGAAGTCGAGAGGCCACATAACGATGCCCTAATGATAACAACGCAGGTGTCGGGATATGAAATACAGAGAGCGTTTGTCGACACAGGAAGTTCAGTGAACGTGATCTTTTACAAATGTCTCAAAAGGATGGAACTCGATATCGAGCTCACACCCCTACACACGTCACTCTTTGGATTCAATGGGTCAGAGGTCGCGCCCCTGGGAGAAACCATGCTTGCTGTCGTCCTAGGGGAAGGCGACTTGAGGAAAGTGAAGATGGTGAGATTCGTTGTGGTCGACGTCGAGTCAGCTTACAATGTGATTCTTGGGAGGCCGGCACTCAATTCTTTCCAAGCAGTGGTGTCGACTTACCACATGAAGCTAAAATTTCCCGTAGGAGATCGAGTCGGGGAGGCTCGAGGGGACCAGAAGTTGTCGAGAACATGCTATCAGATCGCGGTGAAAACCAATCAGCGAGCTGAAATCAATGAGGGAAAGAAACCAATGTCGAGTGAGAAGAGGCCGAGAGGGAGTGATCTCGAACCGCACGGAGAATTGATGGAAATCCAAATAGGAGAAAGAGAAGACCAAACTACCAAAGTCGAGAGAGAGTTGGAGGACAAGTTGTGTAAACAGTTGGTGGAGTTTTTGAAGGAATTCAGGGACATATTTGCCTTCTCCCCTAAGGAGTTGACGGGAATCGACCCAGAAGTCATGAAGCACAAAATCAATGTTGACCCCCTCAGAAAGCCGGTAAAGCAGCGACTCAAGCATCACGGAGCTGAAATCGACAAAACAATTGAAGTCGAGGTGGACAAGTTGCTGAAAGCCAAACACATCAAAGAGATCCAACACGATGATGGTGAGGAAGGCACTAAAAAAATGGCGCATGTGTATCGACTTCCGCGACTTGAACCTGGCGTGCCCAAAAGATCATTATCCCTTACCGAGAATTGACTGGCTAGTCGACTCCACGGCTGGCTGCGAGCTGCTAAGTATGATGGATGCGTCTTAAGGGTATTATCAAATTTCCTTGGCCCCCGAGGATCAAAGTAAAGTGAGCTTCGTGACGAGCAAAGGGACATATTGTTATGTCGTCATGCCCTTTGGACTTAAGAATGCGGAAGCGACCTACCAAAGGCTGATGGATCGCATGTTCAAACCTCAGATTAGGAGAAATATGGAAGTTTATGTTGATGACATCTTGGTAAAGAGCAAATCGTCGACTTCACACCCAGACGATTTAAGGAAAACGTTCAAAACCCTTAAAGCATTAGGGATGAAGTTGAACCCGAGCAAATGCGCCTTTGGAGTAAATGCGGGACAATTTCTGGAATACATTGTCATGGAGCGGGGAATTGAGGTGAACAAAGACAAGGTGAAAGCCATACTCGACATGGCCCTACCAAGAAACATAAGAGAAGTGCAAGTCCTAACAGGGAGGATCGCAGGATTAAGCAGGTTCATTACTCGAGCAGCCGAAAAGAGTTTTCTCTTCTTCAAATTGCTCAAGAAAAAGACGACTTTACAGTGGAGCGACGAGGCACAAATGGCGTTTGAAAAATTTAAAGAATTTCTGAGCGAGTTGCCCTTGCTGACCAAACCAGAGCCTGGTGACGAGTTGGTGTTATATATCTCGGTGGGAGTGGTTTTCCTAAGTTCGGTGCTGCTGCGAGAAGAAGAAGGCTCTCAACAACCAATTTACTACACTAGTCGAGTACTCCAAGGTGCGGAGACGAGATATTCTGAGGTCGAGAAAGCTTCTTTAACGTTGGTGATAACGGCTAGAAAGTTGAGGCTGTACTTTCTGAATCATGTGATAGTGGTGAGGACAAACTT